AAAAGGTTAACATGATATTCTATCACTATAACATGTACGAACTGGTGAGTACTGAAAAATACTATCACATCAAAGCTCATTCTTTTTTCTTCAGAGTACACATTTTTAATTTAAGCCTAAATGAAAAACTCCAATCTACCACAAAAGCATCAGACTTCAAATCTCTCAGACATAGCTTATAACCCCCAGCTTATAAATATTTTCAAATTCTATATTGCATTTCCTCTACGTTTTCATTACATAGGTATTCATAATTCGGAATATTGTTTCCCCTAGCATTTTCTTTAAAAGAAAATTTGGGCTATGTTTTACATCACTAAGTTATTAATTTCCATCTTTTTTTTCTTCTCAGTATGTTAAATCTCATTTCTAAAATACTTGCAGTCATTTATACATCAATATACTTTCTACGAGTATTCCCTAAAACACTGTGTAAAGTCCTGTGTAAAGTTAGTCATGGATGCCTTGCAGAATCCAGATTGAGTCATGTTGTAATAATAATTAACAGAAGAAGAAACACGTGAGCAGTGTTACAGACAACTCACTATATCTGCATATGCAGTTGTGTATTCATTACTGTTCAGAACAAAACAAGTCACAACAGCTACCTTATCGCCCAAAAACCTTTACAGTGTTCAAAACTTTATACCAATACAGACAATGTTATTCCATAGTATGGTAACTTGTGCTATTTTAGTTGAGAAGAGCTAGCAATAACGTCGTTTCTCATCACTTCGGTCACAATTCTTGTAACATCTGTACTTGCCCTGTGTGATTCTGAGTCACATAATGACATGACACATTTTTAATTTTAAAGAGAAAGTTTCAAGTTTCCATAGATGCACAAAAAAGGGTGAAAACAACTTTTAGAGGTTCAAAATCAAAAGGCAAATAATGAAGCAAAGTACACCAAAATTTTTAAAGGCATTTTAAAAGAAAATTATCAATTTTAGTGTGCACAGTTCTAAGTATTTGAATGCTTAGCAAATGAAGAAGGGAGGCAAGAAGTTGCATATTCTATGATTGCCCCTGAGTTTCCTCGCCAAACTGTGCATCTGAACTTATTTTTTCCCCCCCTTTTCTTAAAAATAACAGGAAATAGAACTGCAGCCTCACCCCTGCCTTTCCTCTCCCTCTCCAGTTTCCAGAGAAACAGCAACCAAAAAGAACACCGTTTTGGTCCTAAGCTAGCAGTCAGATGAGTCACACAGCAGCATCAGAGGATATTATCAGCGCTGATAATGGCGTTTCCTACCAGCTTTCATGGATAATGAAACATCGGCATCATCTCAATAGTTCACAAGCTCCATTAATCTATTTCTCTTTCAATCATTTTTATCGATTTATTATTATGAATATCTAAATACTTTTCAGCATAACATGGACTCTGCTCAAACAGATTATTTACAAGTTGTAATTATTGACAGTGCAAATTTCCCCCTTAGAACAATTTACAGCTGGTTCCCACCCAGAATTAAGATGTCAAAGATCAGATCAAGCTGCTGGAACATGCCTAGTAATCACCAATTTCACTATCTACGTGTAGTTTGGAACAAAAGAATGTTTGCTATACGTATTGCAAGCATATTGCTCCAATTGTACACACTGTGTTATTCTTCTGACACATACATTCATTCCATTAATTTCTTTATGTTCACATAATTTTCTCTATAACATATAAAACTTACTTGCCCTAGAATGCAAACTGTTATTCACTCAATTACTTATGCAATAAAAATTTTCTCCTAGAGATAAGTTACTGTACTAATATACACTACTACTGCAACAACAGAAGAAACTGCCAGTAGGGCTGCAGCAGACAAGCTTCCACGTTGCAGACTTCAGGAGTGGGATTCGCTTGTTTAACAGAGAGCTCCGCATCCCAGCTAGCCACTATGAACAACCTTTAGAAGGAACAGAGAGGAGCCAGCACTTCCACAGGCAGATTCACCCCTTTCTGAAGTAGTCTTCTAAAATACTTTAGCTGACTGCATCCTGAAAGGGTGACTAGCTGAAATGTAGTCATGTGAAGTTAAATGAGATGCACCCCACACTCCATGACTTTAGGTGCTTAGGTGCTTGAAAATTAGAAGCCAAATTTACCTCACGCAGAAGGTTCTACCATCAGCCAGTGAAGGGGGCTCAAAATTGAATGAACTGTGGTCTGCAGGTATTTATCTCTTCCCTTATTAATGAGGGGCCCTACATGCCTAATTTAAACCACCTGCTCTCACTATCAAAAGTAAGGAAAGTACTAATTCTAGGGCAACTGATTTTTATTAGAATTTAACAGCAGAAACGCTCTGCAATTAGAAACGGTCACAGTAAATAATATGAAGGTAACCATGAGTCCAAATCGCCAATTTGGTGACCCAAAGTAGATCCAAACGCCTTTCAAAGAAGTTGATGCTGATTCAGACTCACAGTTAGCAAGGTCTATCAGTTGTTCAAAGGATTAAAATTAAAAAAAAAAATCAGCGCTTCAACAGAATGTTTCAATCATTGCCTACTGAAGCAAAGAAACTTGAATTACCAGAAAAATAAGGCTAAATATCTTTAAAAACTGCAGATGCCACTTTCATTTAGTGGGTGAGGTATTCCAAGTGAATAAACATACAGTACTGATAGAAGAAGAAACGCTGCTCTCTCCTACCCAGCAACAGTGTAATATCCTGTGCATCTAAAACTGACACTAAAAAGCACTACAAAGATGTCCCAGAATCAGCCTGCTGTACTAACCTTCCTGCTACCCAAAAATTTGCAGTAAACTTTCAAAATCTTCCATATTTTACAATATATTG